GAGATAACTGATAACTGACATCCATCAAACATGGCACGTGGAACTAGAACAGTCTACCCCAGTGATCGAAATAAGGGGTTCAGTTCGAAATTCCAACCACCTGAAGAAGGCCGGAGCGTACAACGGCCGAAACGTTGTGACAAATATGGCGACAAAGATGAGGACAATAGTCCGACTAATGTAAATACTGTACAGAAATGTATGAGTGTTGAAACAGATTTGATTGATTTGACCTTGTTAGTTAGATAGCCCACCATATTAGGAGTATAAAACAAGAAAATCAAATTATAAGGTGAAACAACAAATTTATATAAATATAAGTCAATTGGGTCTTTACAAATAAAATTAATGTATTTGGTTGATACAAGGTCGTCAAAATATTCGTAGTAGTCATTGAAAGAATGAGTTTATGTGTACTTAGGCAGGAACGTATGTGTGCATGTATGTATGTATGAGCATTTGAAGTAATCGCTCAGTCTTAAAATGTTCCTTTCGTTTATCAAGCATAAAAGAAGTGAGGGAGAAAGGTAGAGATAATAATAACGGTCGCTTGACGTTTGTCAAGGGACGTGTTAATACGCTCGTCTCCTTCTCTCTGGTGACAGGCGAACTTGCCCGTCTTTTATTTTGTTTGTGAGGCTTGAAAAAGTTATTTGGGAATTCACTCCCGGATATGATTCAGGCCTTTTCATTGGACGATGAACAAATTTTTGCGTCGGCTCGCGAAAAGGTCCGTAAAAGAATTTGTTTCTGAGAATTGAAGATTATTTGAATTTTGTTTTTAAATGTTTCCTAGTTTTCTATTGGCCGAAAAACATTTCGCATCAAGGTGTGAAATTTTACGAGTTTTGTTTTGGATTCGCTTTTGCGTGTGTGTTAAGCAAAATTTGTAAATTCGAGTCTTTTTCATTTCTAACAAATTCAATGAGTCAGTGCTTAACATTTGAATTTTAAATCTAGATCTTATTTTGTTCACTACAAATCCCTTACACAGTGGAATGCAGTCGTTTCGGTCCGATACTTGCATTTACGTTCTTGTCTCAAGTGAAAACAAGACGTATGTCTATAAAACTTTACCCGGTGATCGATTCTGGGTCAGCCTGGTCAGCAGTGACAGGACGTTCTGATCCTTCTTACACAATGCCTATGCCAGAAGATGTCTTGGTCCTCAGGGTCGTAGAACGACGAATTGATTGCAGGGCCAATCCCACGTTGTTCAATACTGTCGCGGTTCAACGGCCGTTGGTCGCTATCCATTCAGCCAACACCCCGTTCCGCCTACGCTGTGTTTCTTCATCACGGAGCTAGTAGGGATCGATTAATCGTCAATATCGCAGCGTTGATTCAAACCACGGCGAGCTGTGCTATGATGAAAACATAGAAATGTCTTTTTGCAGACGTAATAAAAACGAACAAAAAGTCTTCGGATCAATTCTCGATTTGGTTTATGTAGTCCTTGGTATAACAAATTTAACCCTTCCCACTAAAATTTCTTTTTAGTGAAACTTTTGTCTATCGGTGCGAATTTCTTGGAACAAGGCTCAAAGTCAGGAATTCTCGCGGTAGTACATTACGTGGGTTTCAACAGCTCCTTCGCCGCTGTTTCGTCTCATCTTCTGTCTGCAACTCTAACTGCAACTGTGCGAATGCCAAGCAGTATAGCAAACCGTTTCCAAATTTCTGTTAGAGTTAATTGAGTCAAAGCGCTCGTTTTCTCACAGATGGTGCCCAGCTGACCCTACTATTCTGTGCAGTCGACAAAATCAAAACAAACAACGCGCAATTTACCCATCGCACCCTTTTGTGTATGTGTATATATATATATATATATATATATATATATATATATATATATGGCATGTGAATGATTTATCAATGTTATACTCTCTTGCAAATTAGATCTCTCTGATTCTCTCTACATGTTGGCCGGATGTGAACGCTAAGAAAGCAAAACAAAAAAAAAAGAATGTCGCCCTCTTTTTAGGAGCTCCGTGCATCACATTCGGCCCACAAAAATTTCCCTAAATATATGAAATACGACATAAACGAAACCAAACAAACCTTGCCCACAAAGAGATTTCCGCTCCCATTCTGTCTTCTCGGCAATACAATGGAAGTTATATTCACAATTCTTGCCTTCTTTCCCTTTTGCCTCACCGGCGGTACTTCGCTTGTTCTCTCACGTGTTTATAACACCAGGTAAACAGGCTAAGTTTTACACAATTTTAATTGAATTATTTCGATTTCGTCGTGATTTCCAAATGTTGAGATGTTGAGTGTTTCCCCGTGCGTGTATTGAAATAAGGACAAACACATACGTAAGGAAAAATACTGGTATATCTGAAGAGGTATTTACAACAGAGAGATTAGTAGTCAAACGAACGCAGGTTAGTCAGTAACAATCAGAAAGAGTATAAAGTCCAACTGTATCTTCCGGTAGAGAGACGGAAGTGTGATGGTCAGCTGATCTCCCCAGAATTCTATAGAACTGTCCTATTAGTAGTAGAGAGATCAGTCCATTCTGATGAGAAGGTGGGTGGCCCCAACACCAAATCATACAGATTTGCCCCAAAAGAAATTGTGGATACAAGCGATTGCCATCGTCAGATTTTGGCGTAAATATTTGGTTACCCTTTTTCTTCCAAGTTGTTCATAATCCATTTATCAGAATGTAGAGCTAAGAGAGCTTTTAAAATGTTTCATTAAAAAAAGATCTTTCAAATAAAATATTTTTATTTTTATATAAATTGTTATATTTTATTGATAAAAATAAATACATTTTTGTATGAAATTTTTAATTTTATTTTCATTTTTCAAACATCTTTTTCTCAGTAAATTCTGGTAGTAATGCTCGGGAAACATTGAAGAAACGTCTAAAATCGTTGAACCCTGATACATGACCCCTTGCCAATTGATAATCCTTAGGTATTTCAGTTAATATAATCTATTTGTTGTTGCTGGAGATGATTTGATTGAAGTCGCCGACTGGTCGGCTATGCTGTCGTTGTAGTTGATTCGTTTGAAGTCGTCGACATGTTTCTTTCAATACGTAGGAGACGGTCGAATCTCTGCTCGTTGATTGTCGAAATATGTGACTTTTTATTTAAAAAATTCCCTAAAGGAGGCTCGAAAAAAATAGTGTTTTAGTTTTCTTTGATTGGTCAAATATTTCACATAGTGATGGTATAACCAATAGGCACTTTGATTTAAACGGTGCGTGTTGTCTTTTTGGCATGTTAGTAAATATTGTCTGTCATTAGGTAGAAAATAAAGTTTGGGTGTGTTTTAATATGGGATGTATGTGGATATGTAATTGTGTTGGAAATAAGATTTATTTCCTATAAGTTAATAAAATTCAGACGTATATCCATTGACAAATCAATCAAATTTGTATATAGGAAATAAATTAAAAGAAAATGTAAATATGGTGATTTGACATAGAAAAATATGATATATGTTATTCTGCTTTCACAATTGAATACATGGTAGATGATACTCTGCTTTTGTACATATACATGTTTGTGTGAACATAATTACTAGAAGCAGTGAGATCTCGGGTTTATATTGTAGTTTTGTTGAAGTTATATTTTGGAATACAGTTTGATTAATCTAAGAAATTGTAGGATATTATATGGATTAATGTCATGAAAGAATTCTTTCATGTTGGTTGTTTGGTTGATTTTGTTTAGCGGTATATCAACACCTCCATGGGTTATTTAATACCAAAATCTAAATATTTTGAACATAATTTTATGACTTCAACTAAATACATTTTGAATGAAATTGTATGCCTTCAACTACAGATAATATATCTTGAACTTTTAAATTTAATACTACTTGCAGTACTCTTGAAAATTTCAATTTTCCTTTGAATTTTCTAATGAATCATAATTCTTATTAATTTAATAACTGAATATGCATCTTGTGAGTTCCAGGACTATAAAATACCCATGGAATTTCCCATATTGCATCGTTAAACAGGGTTTTCGTTTTCTCTAATTGGTCAAATATTTCTCGTGATTATGTTAATTTCTAACTAATAGACACTTTGATTTAAACGGTGTGTGTTGTATTGTAGAATCTTTTTGGCATGATTGTAAATATTGTCTTATGGGTAGAAAATAATGTTTGCGAATGTTTTAATATACCGTAATTCCCCACGTATAATACACCTTCATCCATAATACGCATCTCTAAAATTATTCCCAAAGTGTAGGAAATACTTCTACTCATGCGGAATACGCACCCCTTGTTTGGTAATCAAACTCTAAAAAATTGTACCTTTCCAATTTCATTACGGTCAGCGTTTCCTACTCTTATTAAAAAAACGAAGATACTGGTCATTTTGTGACGGTGCTTTGTCCCGTTCACATCCGGCTCTCGCGCTTGAGTATGTTAGTTTATTTGCCTGTAAACCAGCCAAGATATGTCTTATTTTATTTTATAACAATATGATTTTTGTCTGCTTCAGTATCTAATGAACTATGACAGAACACCGCAATTATAGGTATATTATACGCACTTGTGTTTTTATCTCTAAAACAAAAGTGGATATTACTACAACTTCTTTTTGAAGAAGAAGGACAAAATGACTCTGTGGACGACGACATCGAAAGTGACGGAGACATCTACTACGCTGACAACATCGATGAAACTGCCAGGACGTCGAGCTTTGAAGCAGGCTAAAATGTAATATCTACAAATAAAAAAATCAAATAGTTTTCAGTTAGATATTTGATTAGTTTGTTTTTTATGGCGTATAAATCTTTTACAGATTATTTAAAGGTGAAACATGTTTTTGGACTGTAAGGGGGTGGGTGAAAAATACAGATTTTCTGACACAAGTCCTACTAATTAATCCATAGCAGGGTGGAGAAGTGGATTCATTCCAAGGGTATTTGTATGTAAGTGGATATAACGAACTCGACTGGAATTTGAACTCGACTCTCTGGTTTCTCATTCGAGGCCATTATCCATGACACTACTCTCATATCCAAGCTTATGGCACCTGGTATTCCCAAGCGGTCGCCCATCTAGGTACTGGCCAGGCTCGACATTGCTGAACTTCGGTGATCGGAGGAGAACAGGTGTTTCAATGTGATATAGCCGCAAGCCTAATTATTAGAACTCACTGCTAAACATTACTTAGTTTGGACAACAGAAATAACATACTTTCGTTCATATCGTGCCGAATATGGCTATGGAATTGGCCGGAAAAACGTTACTATTTACTTCTCGTGTATAATACGCACCCCTAACATTTCAGCTTACAAATCTGAAAAATGTGGGTATTATAAATTTCTTTCTTCCAAACACTTTCTTTCTTTCTTTCTTTCTTTCTTTCTTTCTTTCTTTCTTTCTTAATCGTATAAGATTTCTTCCTTTCTCCTACAAAATTTCTTTCTTTCTCCTACACGCTTTTCTTTCTTTCTTTCTTTCTTTCTTTCTTTCTTTCTTTCTTAATCGTATAAGATTTCTTCCTTTCTCCTACAAAATTTCTTTCTTTCTCCTACACGCTTTTCTTTCTTTCTTTCTTTCTTTCTTTCTTTCTTTCTTTCTTTCTTTCTTTCTTTCTTAATCGTATAAGATTTCTTCCTTTCTGAAACACGCTTTTCTTTTCTTTCTTTCTTTCTTTCTTTCTTTTTTTCTTTCTTTCTTTCTTTTCTTTCTTCTTAATCGTATAAGCTTTTTTCCTTTAAGAACAAAATTTATTTCTCCTACGCTTTTCTTTCTTTCTTTCTTTCTTTCTTTCTTTCTTTCTTTTTATTTATTTATTTATGCCTTTCGCAGGGTAATGAGTTCGAAATGAATGCAATCCCTTCCGCCTGGAGTTTGAACTCAGTTTCTCAGTTCTATAAACTGTGAAGCCACACGCACTTCATTACGCCTCACGGTGATACTTAAATCCTTTACGTCACATGCTGAGAAAAATCCATCCATTTTCTCCCTGCTAGGTACAAACTACTGATATTTTTTCTCCGCATATTCCGCAAGATGTTTAGATATTTTGCGTTTATCAAAAACAGTTATTTCCAGATTTTTTTTACATAATGTATCATTAATATTCTGTGATTATTTGGGAATAGCATTCGTATCTTCTTTATTTCTTTTTATCGCAACACTTTATCTGAGAGTTTTCTGTCTGTATTTTTTAGATAAGCTTTTCTTTGTATTTTTGTTACCGAACTGTTACTTAACATCAGTCCTCCTCAAAAATAAAGAAGAGACTTGAATCAACAGAAATGTGGTTTTACAGAACAATGCTTAGAATAACATGGGCTGAACATGTGAACAACAAGGAAGTTTTAGAGAAAATGGAGGCAAAAAGGACACTTTAAGTTTCTAGGGCATCTCTTTGAGAAAAGAAGGTTTAGAAAATTTGATACTCACAGGACATATTGAAGGAAAAGGGCAAAGTAAACCAACGCCTAACCTACTTAACAAGCTTGTGTAAATGGTTGGCAAAACAGAGTTTAGGAGAGATAGCGAAAAGACAAAATTTACTAAGAGCTACAAAGGATAGGATATTGTGGAGAGCCATGATCACCCACATCCTGAAGAGATACGGCACATAGAAGAAGATTGTTACGATTCGGTAAATTCTTTTAACTAACATTTTGTTTCTTTTTATCATATGTCCTACAAGATGAAACATTGAAACTAACTCTCTCTGTGTGTATATATGGAATACTTTAAGATATTAATGAAATATTTTATTGTATTTTGGAATCTCAAATCTAGCTTTTTTATTGATTAGCCGCTCCCATATATTATTTATAGTTACACTTGGCCTGCTGATTGTATGAGTTACTCACAGTATGTTCGCAGATTCTTTCAACCATCTTCTCTATCAATCGTTTTAAACTTATTCCACAGAGGTTTGTGAGTTATAATCTCTCTTTCTCTTTACACATGATCAGCCATTACTGATTTAAAAGTCTCTGCACATTTTACAGCTTTCAGACGCGCCTTAAGTTTAATTTTTTTTATAGAAGATAAAAGAAATTATAAATTTAAACTTTCCAAAATGTGCAAAGACATCGAGTGTAACCATCCTGGGTATGACGATAAAGTACACCCGCGTCCTGGGTATGACGATAAAGTACATCCGCGTCCGCGGTATGACGATAAAGTACATCCGCGTCCTGGGTATGACGATAAAGTACATCCGCCTCCTGGGTATGACGATAAAGTACATCCGCGTCCTGGGTATGACTATAAAGTACATCCACGTCCTGGGTATGACGATAAAGTACACCCGCGTCCTGGGTATGACGATAAAGTACATCCGCGTCCTGGGTATGACGATAAAGTAAATCCGCGTCCTGGGTATGACGATAAAGTACATCCGCCTCCTGGGTATGACGATAAAGTACATCCGCGTCCTGGGTATGACTATAAAGTACATCCGCGTCCTGGGTAAGACGATAAACTACGTCCGACAGCAAGGTTTCTGATCAGGAGGTTTCGAGGAGCGTGGAACCACCTCTTAATTGCTGGCGTTTCCAGGTCCACTCTGACCCGGGGTGGTAGCACCTGTTAGGATCCCAACTATGGGCAAATAGTTAACCCCCAAACTGGGGTCAAAACACTATGAAAGTGTAAAAATAGGTTTCAATACCAGCAATACATCTTTGAAGAAAATAAATATTACCAACAATACATTTTTGAAGGAAAAAAATATTACCAGTAATACATTTTTGTAAATAATTATTACCAGCAATACATTATTACCAGCAATAAAAATCTTGTCGGCAATAAATAACCCATTGAGGTTGATATGCCGTAAAACAAAACAAACCAAACCAAACCATCGAGTGTAATATATCTGAAATGGAATGCGCATGCTCAAGTGAAGGAAGATTCAGTATTTAAAGATAAAACTGGAAACCGAGGAATATGAGGAATATGAGGCTACTTACATTGAAGAAATATTGATATATAGTGTAATGAAGGAGTGCTATAGATTAGTAATGGATGAGGTTGCTACTGGTCACCAGTTTGTAGTGGTAGGAGTCACGATCTGTTTCTGACGAGGATGAACACTTTCAAAATAAATGAGGAAGCTTCTCCGATCACTAAAATCTTTACCTTTCAAGTCTAGGGTTAGCCGTTATTTCCCCCCACATATCCTCATAAACAGTACCTTCTACTCTTTAACCATCTACCTGGAGTGGTTCTTGTGCCTTGTACATTGTAAAAAAAAATGTTATACATAAATTTATATAGATCAATATAGTTCCCAAAAGGAGAGAAAGATAATTATAGTTATGTCTAGCGTTAACCGTTTTCGTCTCCTATCCATATAAACAACCTTTTAACGTAACCCTCTTGAGTGGCTCCCGGGCCTTGTACAGGATGAACCTTATGGTAGAACAAAAAATCTGTATACAGATAATTAAGAATTGGAAAGAAAATATATTATAGTGTGTTTGCGCATGCGCGTGTGCAATAAGAAGCGCCACGTGGTGGTGTGAATTTAAGAAGTCTGCTAATCAGGGAACATCTTCCTGGAATGGAAGAATCCTGTTGTTTTTATTGTTATATTCCAGAGCAAGAGAGAGAGGGGGGGGAGAGATCTGTATACTGGTTAAGTGGCACTTTATTCAAGACTATATGTCTTGAATAGAATGCCACTTAGCCAGCATCTTGGTAGACAAGATGGTTTCATCCTCACAGTAGAATTCTTGAGTTTTTAGTTCTTGAACTCCCTTGTCCATTTACCCAGACCCCTAACTTAACCATTATATTACAGTGCTGTTAATCTGTCAACTTAAATCTTAAGTGTTTGATAGCTGATTTTGTGCCAGGAGATTTTAAACTTAAATTCCCTTTTGTTTAATTCATAGCGTTCTATACTACATACCAATTTGGGCCCTTCAGAGCGGTGTAATGGCTATAAAACTTGTTCCGATAGATCAATTACGACTGAGTAGTGAGCTCGATCCTCACTTGGTGCTCCATATTTTCGGCCTTGTGCCACATCAAAGCTATGGTTAGTAAATCATTATACTACAGATTCATCGTGCAGCTAAAGTCCAGAGTTGAAGGCATATTTCAAAAGCTTCTAAACAAGAGCAATGTATTTTAAAGAAAATACTTCCATGACTGAATAAAGTTGCTTTGAATTTATATAAATAAAAAAAACTGGTGATAAAATCAATGCTGGAATCTTTTGCATCAACCAAAGATGGTATACACAGTTTATCTGGAATGTGATGTAAGGTCATAGAAATCGATGAAGAATAGTTCCATAACTGAATAATAATGCTACGAATTTATATGAATGAAATATTTTGTCAGAAAATAATGCTGGAGACTTTTATCTCGACCTAAGATCATATTGTACACAATTCAGCTGAAAGGTAATGTAAGGCCAAAGAAAATAATTTAATGACTGAATAATGATGCTATGAATTTTTTACGAATAAAAGATTTGATCAAAAAACAACGTTGGAAACTCACAACAACCTCAGAAGATGGAATACACAATCTCGCTAAAAGATAGTGTAAAATCATAAAAAGCCAGTGAAAATACTTTGATGACCGAATAATGATTCTATGAATTGATATGAATAAAATATTTTATCAGAAAATAATGCTGGAAATTTTCGCAACAACCTAAGATTATGGAATACAAACACATTTAGTAAGCACAGAAACATAGTGTTTCCGCTTGTCCGGTAACGAGCTCACATTGCTACAGATGGAACTTGCTCTCAAAGCAAAGAATTATCCACGCAGCATGTAACCTTTAATACATTCACACAACAGACTGGGTAGTGAAAGATGGCGTGCTCAATACAGTGGCGTAGCTAGAGTAAACGTCACCCGGGGCGGTCCGCCCAAATGTCACTCCAATGACCCCGATTCACCATGTGCTGAATGGTTAGCTGTAGCTAAATTTTCATACATGCTCTACTTCTACTTTACTCTACTGACCGGTACGTTACTGTTTACATGTATGATCCAAGACAAAATCCAATACCACAAAATAATCAGTTCAAATCAAAAGATTAAAATGCAACTGTTCACTTTCAGAACAACTAAATACAAAACACGGCAATACACAAAAGAATGACATTCGATACTATGGTCTTAGAATGAATGTT